CCTCCATTATATTTGGGGTAGAAAACACGTTTTCACCGCAAACACAGCTTGATAACAAAGTTCTGTTTATAAACAAGTAACATAGCAACAACCTAGCAACAAGAAAACTCTACTATAATCAACGGTACCTGATTCAAATATACCGGGAAGGTAATGAATTGGTACATTTTTCCGTTTCAAAAATGAACAAAATTTTATTGAAATCGGTCAGAAATAAAATTATCTATGTACCACGGGAATTAATGAGCCTTAATAACCTCAGGCAATTGCTGTCCCTCGGGCCAGAGGCCCTCGGGACGCAAACTTTGCCATCGGTAATTAAGGCCCTCCTAATTCCCTTGATACATAAATAACTATTATTGCTTCATGTAATTGATTGTTTAGCTACTCTTTTTAATTTTATTTTTTTTTTTCATAGATTTCGAATAACAGTAGAATTATGTTAGACAATGGAAGTCCGAACTAATGAAATTCAACAATTTCCACTTGAAAAATATTTTAAAATAAGAGTTTATTGAAAAAAAAATCTTTTTTAATAACATATTCGCAGTTGGAGCATTGAAATGTATGGAGCTTTATAAGTATTTTTACAATTTCCAAAAATTTTTTTTCGATAACTGTTTAATATGTAACGGAGTACATTGACCTTTATTGACAGATACATCGTTTGATATGTCACATTGGCGCCTCCGCCATTTACTTGAATGCCGGCTGGAGAGCAACAAACCGGAAAAGTCCGGGATTAAAACATGATAAACAAAGACAAATCACTGCCTCATATATTCTCAATTGAGATAATTATATAGCCGAATATATGACGATATATTCTTTCCGCGAACCATTCGATTCGCGAAACAAATCATTTCGTACTTCGAAATCCTGGTTTTAAGCGAGAAAAGCATCTCTTGACTCCGTGAAGTCTACGGGATGAGCTGCTGTGTTATGTTTTGGCATTCACTACTGATGCGGTTCCATATTTCTACTGAGATTTCATGCTGGGATGTACACAATTTCTATTTCAGATGTTGCCCCATAGAAAAAGTTAGAGTGATGGAAATAATGAAAGCTGTCTTTTCAAAAAATGAGGTGAATTTTGATTTTTCTCAAAAAATATCAATTCATTCATCAATTTATATTTTGCCCCCTTCAAATTAGTCCCTCGTAGATGTAATATGCGCTTTTTGGTATGTCCTTGAGCTCTTTCAGCAATTCGATTTTTATCTCCTCAATTGTCGCGAAAAGCCGTCCTTTCAAGAGTGTCTTCAATCTCGGGAACAGGAAAAAGTCGCAGGGAGACAAATCTGGTGAATACGGTGGCTGAGGTTTCATGAGTTAGTTGTTAAAACGTTTCTGTGATAATTTCGTTACTATTTCATAACGGGTTTTCAATTCAATTCTATAAACGTTTCTGTGAAAAATTTATAAAACACTTCTATTGCATACAACTGTATTATATTCACAGCTCGTCTACTACGCTAAACGACCCTGTATATCTGCGACAAACGAGACGGTGCAATTTATAGAATCTGTGTGAAATCATAGTTCCGGTGGAAACTTGAAAAACCGAGATAAATCACTGCTTTATATGTTCTCATATAAGATTATAGTATGGCCATATATTCTTCCGTTCGGTTGGCGGAATAAATCATTTCATAATTCGGAAACGTGGTTGTATGCGATAAAAGCATCTCTCGGCTCCGTCGAAGTCTACGGGATATGCTGCCGTGTTATGTGTAGATATGCATTTCGGGCTTCGTAAGCTCTTGAAAGTATGCCGATATATGGAAAGAAACGATGATGTATTGTTATGTATTCGACGTCTCGTCCTACGCACGTGAACTAATGGGAAATTAAACTGATGTAGTGTCTTTTTAGGGGCTGTTTCGAGTCTGAACATTGAGATGGCGCTACTGTGTCGATGTCAACATTTTGAATTCTGTTAGTGCTGGTGATTTCATCTGCTAGAAGCAGTAACACCAATCAATTTCACACTCAACACGTTTTTGGCGACACGATCAAAACGAATTGATCAAAACTACCTCTTCTATTGAGTTTGTTTCGCGTATTAGTCACAGGTTATAGATTGATTTATGGTCGACTGCTCTATGACACTTGACAGGGAAGCGATAATGAGAATTGACAAATGGAATGAGCAGTAAATTGAAAACCAACGCAGAGTCTGCGTATTTTCAATGCCTTCGCGAACTTGTTGCATTTATTGGATTTTACCGAGTTTCCACGCATTCAAAACGTTTTTGAAATTAAATCTCAAAAATTCACCTCCTCCAAAATTTCTACCCCGAAGAATTTGGCAAAGGCCTGCCTGAAAATGATGACTACTTTCCTGGCTAATACCACGAAAGGTTTTGAAATACATTTGAGAAATATTTTGTTTGTTTAATGAAAA